CATGTTGTTGGTAGACAAGTGCCGGTGGGGTGTAGATGTATTGGCCAACTCAGACAGTAATTGGTTCGCTCTTACACCGTTGCACCTTGATGGGATTCGACTTATTGTTTGGGTTCGCAGTCGTGCTATCGACGTTGTTTCGTTGCCTTGCGTCTAGTACATAACGAGATACCTGATGCCGCTGTGAAGGCCACATGCATTGGAGACATACGGTACCTAGATAGATGGTATTATATGGGACAGACTTCGCCGTTCATATAAATTAACAAAGTTGCGCGAACATGTGATGTCATTACGACAGGACGCTGATACATGTAAGGTGGCATGGTGCCCAGGTGTGGTTGAGGAGATGGGGCCAAGTCTGATCTCCACGATCATTTGGGCTGGGCTGTCCACAGATCCGCGCTCCCGGAGTACGCGAGAATGAATGATGGGCGTGCTGCCACAAACGCTTTGAACTCGGACAAGCCGCATCCTGATCCAGATCGTGTTCAACACGCGTGACGAAGAAGGTACGGTCGCTGAACATCGTGTCGGTAGGGTTCGGCTTGAGTTCGGCCTTGAGACGACCCCACAACTAGCGAGGCTTGGGCTGTTTCATTTCTGCCCTTTACCGAGAGCCGCGAAATTTGGCGCACCTCTCAAAGATATCACGCTCACCCAGTCGTTGGAACCCAAGCTGCCCGACAATCGATAAAGAAACGCGTGTGATTTGCTTCGAGACACGAAACAGGACACTGAGGCAGGTATTAATCGCATGACGCGTTCAATGCTGAGAGCGTCCACTTCACTATACCAAAAGAATCGACGCGACTCGTTGTTATCTGTCTGTTCAGCTGCACTTTTGCGATCGCGCACGCCGAAGATATCAGAATCCGACTATGTCGCTGACGTCAAGGGACCAATATTTGTCACCCTGTACCGAGAATGAGTACCTCTGTTGCGAAGACCAATCCGATTGGGACAAAGAGAAAGACAAATTACGAGGCCGAGTCCTTCGTGTTACTCTAAGCCAACAGGTGCATATCTCTAGGTAAGTTGGGACGATTAATATATATAGATACTGAAGACTGTCGCTCACATCTTGATTAGTGACATCATGAGGTCATTAAAGCTTCATACGGGATGGCTACAGAGTCTTGAAATCGCCAATTACGCAGCCAATATCTCAGATGGTGATGTCCTTGACTTGGTCTCACGGAACAATGGGTTACGCGAAATCATGCTATTGAACATCAATCTAACGGACAAATCAATCATTCATATTCTCGGACATTGTCCAGATATCGTATCCATTTCAACTGGCGGTGACAGTTCTGGCGGAGATGGGCGGATCAAAGGCCATTTTGCGTCCTACATGAACAAGCAGGAAAATATGCACAAATGGGAGAAATTGACAACTATCACTTTTTGGGGTCAGCCAATCGACAGGGCACAAATTAGAGGCTTACTCAAAAAGCGACCGAACCTACGAATCGATCAGTTGCAGACACCCAGCCCCGAAGTAGTAAAATCGCTCACGGATGCCGGCATCTCACCTTCCAACAAGGAACTATCAGATACGGCAATTACCGAGGAGTTTGCTAAAGCATCACAAATCGTGCCCGTTATATCTTTCTGGAGAAACGGCAAGGTTAGAGGCCCAGACATGGCGGATTTGGTGCGGTTAGAACAGACTCGGTTGGACGCTATCCGGCAGTGTAAGGCTGAGCTTCAAGCTTGGGCTGAGTATGAGGCAGAGTCAGAACTTGAGGTGGAGGCTGAAAAGATCCCTGAAGAACCAGAGAGTTGTAGAAAGCGGACTCTAGACCTGGCCTCTCCATCATCACCACGGCCAGCTCGAAAGGTCGCAAGACGGGAAGTTTCCGATCTCCGTCACGAAGAAGATGCAAAGCAGGCCGACAGGACGAGTAGCACGAACGTCAATGAAGCGTCATCAAGTATGGAAAACACCTCTGGGAACGCCAACGCAGGCAGCAGCTCTGACGGAAGCGCCTTGACCAAGAGCGTCATCAAAGAAGAACCTTTGGTCGAGGATGACTTCGGAGTGAACTATGAGGCAGCCGAAACCCATGGAGGAGATGCATTGGATGAGGAGGAGGATGCTATGATGAGTACTGTAATCAAGAGAGACGATAGTGTATGACCAAAGCCGATTTCAATGAAGAGACATGTTCAGTGTTTCAGGTGGCTTTCACTCCAGTATTGAGAGCGCGCAAGCGTGCCTACAACTGAGACCAAATTGGGTGATGGCGCCCTGGAAGCGCTATTATGACATCATCGTTGTTTAGCCTGGACTTATCAGCAGGCTCTATTATCAACTCTATACGAGCGAGCAGATCCCTCTTATTCCACATTAAACGCTAATGACATTGTCTCTTTCGTGTTCCGAGAGCACGATGTGTGCAGACGCTTTTTGGTTTCAGTTGCGGCCAGGCATCCTCGGGGCCCATACTAGTTACCGGTACCCCCCGCCCAACGGGCCCGGCTGTTTCGGGAAGGTTCGCTCCTGCAGGCCGAGGAACCTCAACATGTCCACAGTCACCGGTCGCTCAACACCAACTCCCTATGAGGATACGGCACGGTTTACATGTCAGTGAACTGCTATCGATGCTAAGTTGACTCCATCCTCGCGCGCGACAAGCAGCACAACCGGGCCCCACTGTCTGATCTGCCCCCACGTCACACCTTCGAAGCCACGCACTTACCAACACCGAACGATGTCGTTAGAAGCAACTCGCAAATATTGGCTACTACTACCTGAGAACCAGCGCGTAGCATGTGATAGTGCAGATAAATGGCATTGGAGAAAAGAGAGAGAGAAACTGCTGCGAGGCCGAGTGTATGATGTTTTTCTGACGTGCGACATTCTGATATTACGGTATGTTCAGACGACGAAGAAGTCCATTGTCTGAAAGCCATGACTCACAGCTTCATTAGCTCTATGAAGACTGCGCTAAAGCTTCATACCGGCTTTCTGAAACGCCTTTGGTTGAGCGACAGAGAAGGCAATCTCTCAGACGGCGACGTGCGCGCGATTGTTGCACGGAATCACCTCCTACTCGATATCAACTTATATGCACCAAATTTGACAGACAAGGCACTTATCGCCATTTTAAAACACTGTCGATCTGTCGTGTTTGTTGGAATACACGGCTTGCCTAGCAGAAATGGATGTATCAAAGGCCATTTCGTTGATTTTATGAACATGCAGGAAAACCAGCGCAAATGGCCGTTGCTGAATGAATTGCGGCTGGATAATCAACCCATTGATGCAGCTCGAATGAGAAGCGTCACCAAAAGAAGACACGGACTAGAGATTCGGCAGAGCATTGCGCTTACTTCTGCTGTGGCTGAGGCGCTGTCCAACGCTGGTGTCGATATACCAGGCGCGGAACATATCGCAACTAAGTGGTGTAGAGGGCATGTCGTAGGCATAGACTGGGTGGCATTGGTGCGCAGAGAGCAAGCGAGGCTGGATGACTTGAAACAGCTTGCGACACAACTTCAAACGGAGATGCTTCAACGATTTCGACAGATGATTCAGGATGAAATTCGAGAAGAGCGAAACATGGCTAGACTTCTAGTCGATTCTGCGCACAGTGATACAGAAGAGCCTGGGTCAGAAGAAACTGGACCAGAAGAGAGCTGTTCTGAGGCAGAAGAATCTGGCGATGACGGTCTGGATGATTTTGATACTAGACGTCTAGGTAGTTATGAGGACACTACAGAGGAGGGAGACTCAAAAGCAGATGAACTCGAGGAAGAGGAAGATATCTTAGAGGAGGAAGAACCAGAAGCAGATGAGCTCGAAGAAGAGACCGGAGAAGAGCATTCGAATGAAGAAGATTGTTCCCCAGAAGAGACCGACGGGGAAGAGGAGGACGACAACGACGACGAAAGATATCAGATCGAAGAAGAGGCGCGTCCCTCAATCAAAGCCGAAAGGATTGCACAGACTGCAGACGAAGAGATCCCCAGGACAGAATCCAGATATTGGGCCCCTGTGGAGCGGAACACAGGAGCAACGATAAAACAAGAAAGCCGCCTTAGCGTAGCGAGAAGTTTACCAAGAAGACCGGCATCGATATCTGCCGATGAAGATAATGACATGCGCATCGCGAGTGGAACGCATATCCAAGACGAAAGGCAACAGAGCGACCGCAGTGAGGCGGAGTTCAAAGATGAGCTAGTCAACCAGGTCAAAAGCGAAAGTAGAATACATGCACAAGATTCAGCACGCTTCGGGAACGACATCGAACGCTCTATTGTTGTCAAAACGTATTATCCACGCACACCCATTTCACCCCTCGAGTTTCCGGGTTCTGTCACACTCAGATTTAGCAGTCCTCAGGATTGGGAGCGACGATGGCAGAGGGCACAGCGTCGCACAGGCATACGCATGGTCATTTTCGAACCAAGCTTTGCTGTCACAGTGTAAGTTGTCTTCGTCTGTCATTGAATTTGTTGTTAGCATACTGAATCTAAACAGTGCCGACATCAATATGCTAGCTTGGTCACCAGCAGCATTCAGTTCATCTATTTTTGCGATCCGCGTGGGCAACGGTGCCCTGATAGACGACCAGTCTATTACCAACCTCGCCGCGAACATGGCGCAGTTAACACAGGTGCAAATCGATTTGGCTCCAAATATTGGTGACCAATCCATCATGAGTCTTATCGAGTTCTGTCCGGCCATTGAATACATTGAAGTATGTGGGGATCTACTCACGAGACGATCCGGTGGTGTGACTTTGCGTAACCTCGACGCGATATTGATTGCAAATGAAGATAAGGCCCAACGTCTTCGTAATTTGGTGCTTGTAGATCAGCTGGTGGAAGACAAGAGCGTGGAAGCCTGCGAAAATTTGCGAGCAAATCTGAAAATTATACGTGGACATCAGACACGAAAGGGGATTGTGCCGGGAAGCAGGGCTTAGCGCGCGGCTAGATACGCAAAACAATGTCATTGTATTAGATACTATAGATTATCATACTTATCAATCCAACGCGAATCTTTGTGAGTCGCGGTCGGCCAACGGCACCACATTGTAGTTCAGACGCTGTACATAATAGTCGTCCTCAAGCTCGTGCGCTCGAGGTTTTCGTTGCACCTGGCCCAACAGGATTGGCCGGAGCCCTTTCTTGAAGTTGTAGAAGCAAACGCAGCCGGCCAGGAGAGCACTCGTCGAAAAGACCACCCCCACGCAGAGGTAGAAAACCATCTCATCCTTCAATAGAGTATCAGCAAGGAACGAGTGCCCGTAGAGAACGAGGAGTCTGCTGATCAGGTATGCGATATTTGCGGCATGCAGAAGCTGTGAGATGCGATGTTAGCGCGTGCCAGTCCTTTCGAGGTTGAGTGACCTACCAAAACAAACGCCAGTCCAATGCGACGCTCATGCCGGACAAAATATACCGCGATAGCCACATGTACAAGAGTAGCCGGGATGATCGAGATCGTCAATGAGAACTCGGGCTCCTGGAAGTGGACGTCGATGAAATCGTAGAAGATTATGAACGCGAAAACGAAGTAGGGTGTAAACTTGAGAAGCACGAGGTAAATCTGTGCTTGAGTGAGTATGGTCAGGTAAAGAAGATGACGCAAGTCTTACCTGGTAGACAGCGTATTTTGTTTGCATCTTCTTGTCAGGGCTGACATGCTGGTATAAAGCCCAAGAGAACTCACGGTATAAGCCCCTCGCTAACCAGCACATAATGGCACTGCTGACACATGTGACCACGGTACAGACCATCAAGCCAGGAGAGATCTTCTTCCAGAAAGGCCAATCAACATCTGCGAATGGAGTGCCGTACGTGTCGTGATTAACAAGAATCCTAGATACTGCATGTCTAGTCTCGCCATATTGAAGAACCGTCGAAATGGAAAGGCATATGTTGGCGGCGCATTGAACGAACACCTGGATGTGGTTCTTGATCCGGTATGCGTCAAGTGTCAAGATGATCTGGAAGAGACATCCCAATGAATTGACACACAAGGTCAGAGGGATGACATAAGATATCGGAACCTGGTATGCGACCGAGTTTACCCAATTCAAGTACGTGACAAGAATGACTCTAGGCCTAGTTAGACAGTCCATCTAGCGAGTGAGTTATGCGGGGAAATACGAACGTCTGTATCGTAATATTCGTAAACGCCTGAACTGTCGTAGTGCCAAAGAAGAACCATTCCAGTCTCGTCTCCGGCCGCCACGATACCATCGTTATTATGTTGCCCCGATCGAGCTGCCCGCACGCCCAAAGAGGTAATGGAAACGAGTTTGATGTGAATCAGCCACACCGGGGCAGGGTACAAGCGGTGGGTATGTGTGCGACGGGACAATCTTTTTAGCAGTCTCGAAGAATCATGATAACGCGTGGACAGAAGCAAAAACCTTCTAGTTCCATAGATAGTCTGGCATTTTCCGGGCTTGGGTCCGCTAGGGAAGCCTAAATACGGGAAAGGAGCTTCCGCACTACGCCGCATTCAGCCGAACGTCGACCATTGCAGCTGACATCGACGCTACGCCATCACAGACTTCCCACGGCGAGCATTTCCGGGACCTTGATGGACGATATGATTGAATGGTCTCGGATATTACTATCACGATACGAGATTGGTGCTGCGGGAGGTGTGGGGGGAGACTCAGGCTAGTCGCTTTTCCTGCTAGCGTGACAGCCTTCATGCAGGATGTCTCGCGTCTCATCAACCCGGCCTTGCGACACTCGAGGTTCAGGACAAAATCACAGCGATATCTCGCTTTCAATGTTGATGAGACCAGCTATCGCGATGTTTATCCGCCCAATACATCATGTCTCTGTTACGATGATTGACAGTCCTGTTCTAGACATGCCCCGCGCACGACGCGCACGCCGGGGGTCTTTTCGCCACCAGGGGCACAAAGCTTACCGAGAGCTGTTCGAGAGGAGTCCATGAGCCGTGAAATCTCGAAGGCCAGACGCATTCCAAGGTTTGCTTTTGAAACACTTATCGAACTCAGGGAGCGACTGAAGGATCAAGCGACCTCTACACCAAGGCAGTTTAAATCATGCAAAATCCCGTTCCCATACCTAGTTCTAACATCCTTCCTCCCGCTGCCCACAACGCAACATGAGAACTCTAGACTCTTATCCCGAATTAAGTTGGAAGAAATGTACACCACAACCTCCTGAGATTGAATACCAGCTCCATCCTCCTTTTCTCCTTCCGACCCCCCCGAACTTATGCGAGGCCAGATTCACACTTCATCCTGTCCGTGGGTTCCTATCAACTGCCCACATCTGGTGCTGCAATGGTGGATTAGACCCTTGTAGTACCCCCGACACTTCTAACGCTCCCTACGGCTACTATATTGCTTGCTCCGTAGACATTCCTGGAATTGGAGCGTACAAGTGGAACTCGCAAGTCTGCCATCCAATCCCACTAGCTCGTGATGTTCCCGACCAACCTCAGGCGCCGCAAGAACCCGCACAGCACCATGGCCATGCACCAGAAAACAATACACTAAAACGGAACCACGAAGACACAGAGTACCCCGATGCTACCGGACGAAAGATACCCAGGACCGCAGGGTATGCAGCGACTGTCGAACGAGAACACAGCGAAGAAGTATATGGGGTCGGCTCCGAGGGGAGTTCTACGGAAGACGAGACAGTCGAAGGAAATAAAGAAAGCGGAGAGGAGGAGGAGGAGGAGGAGGAAGAGGAGGAGGAGGAAGAATACTACCAACGCGAAAGTAGCGTCGAAGTCGAGCAATGCGTCAATGAGCGCGACTCATCCGATGATGAGTCAAATAATTGGGATCCCACAAACGCCATGAAAAAGGCCGAAGCTAGGCGTGGTCTTGTATATTTCGGAATCTTTCCCAGTCTCGGCAATCCAGAGGGTATTCTATTCTACGGCAATTGGGACCAGTGGGAACAACGATGGTATGCAGACGCGTTACGCACCGGTATTTGGAAAGTATACTTCGGACCCGGGTTTCGCGTGCAAAGGTAAGCGATTTCATACTTTATTATGATTAAACAAATGATGTACTTGGTACTGACGATTATGGCCGTGGCTAGATCACATCTTGAGGCGTTGGCATCGGCACCACCTGCATTTCGAAAGACCATTGTATCGATACATTGCAGCAACGCAGGGCCTCTGGATGACGATGACGTGATTACACTCTGTTCCATCAACCCTGGTTTGAAGGACATTTCGCTCGGTAGCGCGCAACTTGTCACCGACAGAGGCCTAGTTTATATACTAGATCTATGCCGATCTATAGGTCGTATCAGCATAAGTGGTGACGACAGATGCCACGGTTCAATCAGCCTTAAAGATCGGCAATTGCGTACCGCATTACGGAATCCCCAATATGGGAGAAGGCTGAAGCATTTGTGGCTTATGGATCAGCGCTTCACTCGCAAGCGGGCCAAGATCATTTCCAAGACAAGGCTGAAGATGGCTATAGTAGGGGGTGAGACTGTGGGGGACAGTCACGCTGCGCTGATGGTAGCTAGTATGACTGGAGGTTTCACCAGATTTGTGTACTTCCACGGCGGCGAGGTACCATACATTGACATTGCACACCCGTCGACGGTAACATGATCTCAAGACAGGCAACAGGTATCGTGATATGAGGATAGAGTGTTTCGAATATGGAATATACATGTGGTTGCATTCCAAAAGTCGCGCGAAGAACGAATATACCTCTATCCATACAAATATTACGCCATCTAATTAGCTGCGCCGTCGCGGCTTCGGTTGGGAAGTTCCAGCATTCTACGCCGTAACATCACCGCTCTTCGCTCGCTTCGCGTCCCTTTCCTCGCCAGCATTTGCCTCGGCGCGTCTTTTACCCTCGTCCTTCCTTGCAGTATCCTTCTCTTCCCGCGCAACACGCCGCGCCTCTTTGTCCTGCTTCTCCTTTTCCTTCCGAAGAGCCTTGCTCTCGAACTCGTGCCAGTCACCCTCCAGCTCCTTCAGCGCGTCGGCACGTTTCGATGGCGGGGCTTCGCTCGTGAAGAAAGGATGCTCGAGCACGTCGGCGGCGGTGGGTCGCGCATTGGGATCGAACAGGAACATTGCCTGGAGAAGCTCAAAGGCCATAGGACTAACGCGGTCCTTGTACTTCTCCTCAAAAGTCGACTGTTTTCGCTCGGTTGGCCGTAGCAGTTCAAACCACTGCATGTCAACAATGCCAGGCCAGTCCTGCACAGTGGGCGTGCCGAGTATGTTGTAAATCTTGTCCAGCTGATTGATCTCGCCGCCATCACCAGGGAAGATAGCGTGCCGGGTAAAGATCTCGACCAGTACGCAGGCAGCTGACCAGATGTCGACTGCTGGCCCATACTGTGTTTCTCCCAGCAACAGCTCCGGTGATCGGTACCAGATGGTAATGACCCGGTTGGTGTAGTCGAGCTTACTGCTTTTCGCGTAGAAACGTGCAAGACCGAAATCTGCCAGTTTCAGTTGTCCGGTATTGGATACAAGGATGTTCGCAGCCTTAATGTCTCGATGTAAAACGCCGCGGCGGTGGAGGTAATCCAGGCCTTCAAAGAGCTGTTTGGCCAGGTCCTTCTTGTGTGCTTGTTCGAGCTTGAAGGTCGGGTGGTTCAAAAGACCGGTAAGATCGTGGGAAAGGTATTCGAAGACCATGTAGCAGTCGTTCTTCTCAACCATGACTTCTCGGAGATTAACGATGTTGGCGTGATTAAGAGATTGCAGAAGTTTGACCTCACGGATGGCCGTAACAGGGAACTGGTAGTTGTTAGCGTTATGTCACTGCCTAGCACTGGGTGTTCTTACGCCATCGCGTTCGCCCTCCATACGAATCTTCTTGAGAGCTACCATATCCTTCGTATAGACATGGACTCCCTTGAAGACCTTTCCGTAGGTGCCGGATCCAACCACCGATTCGTTACCGGGCTTCCGGTAATATACAGACTCTGAAGCTGCATGTTCAGGAACCAGCGTAGGCCGAGGTTTCATGCGCTTCCTCATAACGATCTTAGTCTTGGGTATCTGAGGGGGTGGTGACTTTCGCGCTGGTCGTGTGTCAGGCCGTGGGTCGAATCGTCTATCGTCAGGTCGTCGGGGTGGGTATGGCTCTCTACGATCTCTCGGATCGCGCATATCTCTGGGATCGCGGTCACGGATATCGCGCGGGTCTCGTGCATCTCTCGGATCTCGCATATCTCTGTCTCGTGGGTCTCGGAAATCTCGCTCTTTGCCGCGATAGTAGGGCTCACGCGTGTCTCGTAGATCTCGGGTGTCTCTATCGCGAGGGTCTCGATAGGCAGGTTTTCGATCGTAGTAGTTGTCATATCGACGGTCTCGTTCCCTGTTGTCTCGGTCGCGGCCACTGTCGTAACCTCTGTCCCTCGCGTCCCGATCTCGATCGCTTCGTGCTTCTGAGTGACGTGGGGAAGCTTCACGTGCTGCTGCCGCTGCCGCTGCCGCCTTTGCTTTGGGGTCAAGAAGAGACTCTTTGGAAGCAGGCGCAGGCTTCTCAGGCTCTTCCACTCCAGGCTTTGCTTTGCTCGCTGGTGGCACTGGATTCTTGGTCTTCAACGAAAAACCAAATCCTGACTTCGGTGCTGTCGGTGCCTTTGAAGGTGCCATCCTCTTGTCCTCTTTGGAACCCTCGTCTTCTACACGCAGATCTTTGGACGGGCGGAAGGGGTTGTCATCAGCATCCACAGATGCAGAGTCGGCAGGTACTTGCGACGCGACAGCGGGCTGTGGGCGTGGCGCTTCAGTGGCTGGGCGGCCGCCTCGAGTGCCCGACGCTGGCGTCCATGACAAGTTGGAGAATTGGGTAGGCGCGCCACGCCCTCGTCCGCCTGGACCGCCAAATGGAGCGTTTGCTCCAGGACCTGACATTCGGCGGTCGGGGCCGTTGAAGTTGTTGCCGCGGTAGCCGCCATGTCCTCCGCGATGGGGGCTGTTCTGGAAGCCAGGTTGTGGGTACGGTTGGTTCGGGTAGTAACCTGGAGATTGGTTCTGATGGTAAGGAGATTGATTTGGGGTATAGCCATGTGTGGGAGACCTGATGATGTCAGCATGTGGATGACCGAAGGCCGATGGGATGGAAACTCACCCTTGATTGGGGTACGGTGGACCGTTCCAACCGCCTCGACCGCCGCCATGATAGGGCGATTGATTCTGAGGTGAATACTGATTTTGTGCAGGGTACGGTGGGGATTGCTGGAAGCCACCACGTCCCTGGTAGTGATACGCTCCCCTCATCTTGCCGTGGTCTTCCCGACTCTTGGACGTGTCAGAGTTGTAACCTGATCCCGGCGCGGGCGAGCCTCGACGTGAGGCGACCCTGTCTGTTCCTTTATCCAGGCGTTGACGCGGCCTCGATGTAAGAGAGGGCGAGCGGGACGGACGGCGTCGAATGGGCGGGCGGGGCGAACGACTTCTGCGCGGTGATAGTCTGGCTCGGTGGGTATGGGGCGGCGAATTTCTGCGAACTGGGCCTGGAGATCGCCTCCGGGGCGGACGAGAGGGAGATCGAGCACGTCTGGAATCTCGACTGCGAGTCCTTGCCCTGTCGCGTGTATTGTAGGGCTTGTAGGACCGTTCACCGCGGTTGTCGAAGGGTGAAATAGGTCTTCGATCAGTTCTCCTAGGCGACAGTCTCCGAGGCGGTGTTCCACGCCTAGATCTCCTGTCGAGTGAAACTGATCTTTTCCGTGCACGATGAGCCACCGGTCTGTAGTGTGTATCGGCAGAGGGCGAGCGGCGGCGAGTCGAGGTGGACGGGAAATACGTGTCGGGCGTGGTTCGTCGAGGCGGTCGATCGCGGTCGGAACGCTGAGCTCGTGGGGAGTATGCCCTCGCAGCAGGCCGGTCCGGCGAAAGTGCACGTCGTGGCCTCGATGCAGAGCGTATTGGGCTGCGACTGCCCTGCCGTTTCACGCGCTTGGAGGAGCCTCGTGGAGATGGAGAACGCGGGTGGTGGCGTTTCGACGATGGAGTTGTGTCGCGATGGTGGTGGTGATGCCGATGCGAGTGGGCAACCCTGTCTGCGCTGGCTTCCCTCTTCGAAGCTCGATGGCGGTCCTCCCCAGAGATGCTGCGACTGCGCCGACGCGCGCGCTCTCTGCTCAAACTTCTTTCGCGTGAACGTCCCCGTGCGTGCCTGGCCGATGAATGCGTGTGGGTGTCGTGTGCGCGGTGTCTGGGAGAATCTCTGGCAGCTCGTGGCACTGGTGACGATGTTCTGCCCTCGTTGTTCCTCTCCCGTGACCGGTCCCTAGATCGCTCTCTGTCCCTACTAGACGAGTCCTCTGGTCTCCACTGGTCTATATCCTGAGCCCGTCGCAGGGCAGCCATAGAGGCAGGAAGGGCATCAGAAGGCGCAAGGTTGCAGCATCAAGAGGTCCGCGGGTCAAAGTGCCACGGCCTAACCGAACAACAAGAAAGTCCGGCACCCTGCTCTCAGCCTTACGAAGCAGTAGTAATGAAAGCGAGAAACAACAAGAGAATCGGCTGCGACTGTAACACACTCCTCAATGCGCTGCCGTTGATGCGCTTTCGATGTTGCTGTCGTGGCCGCAGACGCTGCGCATGCAGCGCCTTCTCGCTCGTCGGTCTTTCGTCTGCCGCTATCGACAACGCCAAGCCCCGTGACAAGTCGCCCTCATCGAGTGTGCATGGAAACCCCTCCCTGCCACCCAAGACTCCAGCCTGCTCCCGGATTTCATCTTGGCTTGTCCCTTCCGCATCTTCAGATTTTGGAGATCATGTTGCAGTCCACCAGGTGTGCCATATGGCTTCACGACATCTACATAACGCATGCGAAGCAAGACCCCGCCACCCTACTAAAGACAACCCCTGACGACCGAAGCTGTAGAGAAGTAATCCTCAATATCAGGCCATGGCAACTCGGGCACGGCGATATCTTCAAACACCAATCAGTCGAGATATCCCATTATCGGGGGTTGGGCCGATCCAGAAAGGTGATGCGATCCTTTTGTAGTTTAATTGAGCTCGCCGCGATCATATTGACGTTGGGCTTTTCACGTTACCACGATTGGCATGCGAAAGCTCGCGCTCCGCAAGGGAGGGAAGATGGTGTAGTTCCCATGCTGGGGGCGCGGTCGACGCACCCGATAGCCTAGAGCTACCAGACCTGGATGCAAGGTATGGCACGGCGCCAGACAAAAGAGCCACAATATGTGAACCAGGCTCACTTGCCGTCCTGGAACGGTCACCAAAGACGAGCAGCCATATGAATCTGGACATGCTCTCGGAAAGGCCGGAGCATGTCGCAATTGAGCGGCAGTCGTATGGCGATTGTAGCCCTGGCCGGGGCTGGGAACTGGGAGTTGTAACGATAAGTAGAGGAGACACTGCCTTTACCCAACGCGGGGTAGCCACAGTATATGTTAAGAATAGTGCACGATGCGTGATTAGTACGCGACTGCGCGAGGGCGGTAGAACGACGCCCAAGCAAGGCCGTGGTAACTTGGTGACCCTGTGCCCTTCTCTGTCATCGCCAGTAGATGACCAATCCTCCCTCGATGCACATCGCATCATCATGTAATGCCACGCTATGATATGCGCAGTGGGTCGAACAGGGAGATGGGCGGCGCTGAAGCGGAAGCGCCGTTTGCTGTTCTGCTCAGGTGAAGCTGCGGGGACTGAAGGAAAGCCCTCGGGCCCCGTCACGGCGGTCTGTCACCCGTTCGCATCATCGCTAGAAATCGTGAATGTCGAGCCGAGCGCTGGTGGTATGGTCGATGCCATGCGTGGTCGGGGCGGCGTGTGTTGATGATGAAGCGTCGGGTAGCGAAGGGTCGTGGTAGTGTCGTAGCTCTCCTGCTGCTCGGCTGCCCGCTTGTCACGTGTCCACCTGGTCAGAGCGCGACGAGGTGTGGCGTCATCGCTAGGTTGGAACGCTAATCCGCATTCGACGGCGCAGGAATAAGTTATTCCCTTGTAGTCATACTGACCGGGCTCCGAACTATTCTCCTGCGCAAAGCATGCGCCAGGCCGAACATGTTTCCCTGGGCATTGTGTCATCCTCTCATCTCTAGTTTGCTGCTTCCTCAGTCTGAAAAGTCCCTTCCCCACTAAAAAAGTCCCGACGAATTCCCCGCGATTATGGACGCCGACACCCCCAAGCCCAAATCCGCGGTTCCCTCCCACATGATGAACGGCGGATCACCCCTCAGGCTCACCACCGAGGCGCGCGACAGGAAAGAGCGCGAGCACCTCTTCCATGCTATAGAGACTTCCAACCGAGGGCGCCAGCCAGTAAACTTTGACGGGCCGACTAGCTATTTCCCCACGAAGGCTTCGGTCGCGAACATGCACACTGACAACCGACATGTCATGGCGAACGGCCAGGTAGACGCCGAAGACCCTTACGAGGGCGCCGTTGCCCAAACACCACTTGCGACCAGTCGCGCCCATAGCCCGTACACACAACATCCCACCATCGACTTCGATGGGCTTAGCTGGCCCAGCAAGGGTACGCGGGAGAGGAAGGAGGCGACTGAGGAGGAGAAGGAAGCCAATCTGAAGAAGCTGTCTGGTGCTGTCCGAACGATGCTTGAGTGTCTGGGCGAAGATCCAGACCGCGAGGGACTGTTGGACACACCAGAGCGCTATGCTAAGGCCTTACTCTTCTTCACCAAGGGCTATGAAGAGAACTTGCGCGACATCGTCAACGGTGCTGTCTTCCACGAGGACCACGATGAGCTCGTCATTGTGAGAGATATCGAGATCTTCTCCCTCTGCGAGCACCATCTGGTCCCCTTTATGGGCAAGGTAAGTCCTTTGTCCTGTTGTACCTGCCCTAAGGAATGTTTACTGACCTCTCTGTAGATGCATATCGGCTACATTCCAAACCGTCGCGTCATCGGCCTCTCCAAACTCGCTCGCATCGCTGAAATGTTTGCTCGCCGCTTGCAGGTCCAAGAGCGCCTCACCAAACAAGTTGCGCTCGCCCTTTCCGAGATGCTACAGCCACAAGGTGTCGCTGTGGTAGTCGAATCAAGTCACTTGTGCATGGTCATGCGCGGCGTGCAGAAGACAGGCGCTACAACAACTACAAGCTGCATGCTCGGATGCATGCGATCAAGAGACAAGACCCGCCAGGAATTCCTGAATCTCATCAACAGGCGGTAGAAATGGTACTGGGTCAAAAAGCTTCGGCATCTAGTTGGGGTGCCAGGCGGCCTGACTCGTCGCATCATGTGCTATCTTTGCACGACTCTCTGCATTGGCGTTATATGGGATCGGCGTTTGGATGAGAAGTTCATCACTCTCATTAGGTGGGCGGGCTATTGTGGTGCATCACTAGACGCATAGGCCTTTCAACAGGCGTTTCCTTAACTCTTTTTCACATTCATGATGTACGATTTTCTGCGTCGATGTACGCAAACGACCCCCGCGATCCATTTTCGATATAACATGCATCTGTACTCGTACAGTAACGAGAATAGTCACTGCCGTTCAATTCATCGTCGGTAAATCGCATGCTTAACTCCGAACGCCGCGAGCTCCCATAACCTCGTTTACTAATCAAATGGATTTTCGCGCGCCTTGATGTTCGTCCGTTTTCACGGTATCGGCATCGCAGCGAGATCACCTTCCGCTCCGGAATACCACCGAGGTTGATTCGCGCCCAGCCAGCGATAACTCCGTCCTCATTCTGGCGATAAGTCCATCATCATAGCGATGTTGACGTTGGAAATGCATACCCACACCTCGTACAAGGCAAAGCCGAACAGGTCTGCAGACTACATTGAGATAGAAACACACAAAGTGGGTAGCCTTACGTCAACGGAGGCTCCAGGGTGTTCAGCTTTTTCGTAGGTTGACGTGCCCAGGAAATCTCAGATTGATGGGACGCCTTAGGTATGGACAGAATATAAGAGTAGACATCATGGGCGAATCAACTCTAGTCCGCCAAGTCAAGCAACTTCAGTCTCGTCACACGTTTCCCCTCTTCTCCGTCAGCGTTCAATACACAGCTAGCATACACCATGACATCACCAAGAGGTTTTGAACCGTGCTGCCTTAAATCATTCGACTGGAACGGTACACCAAGCGGTCACGAAGCGACAATCGCGAACAACCCAACCTACATTACCGGCTCCAACCCCAACGCAGCCGTCATCATCGCCCA